ACACAAAATAAAAGCTAAGGGTAACTGAGGCAAGCCAGCATCACAAAACTCTAATGAAACTATGTTCAGTTGTATATCAGGTTTAAACAAAGGGGAACACAGCAAACAGGTTTAACAAACGAGCTTCACATGCAAAGGAGACGAGGAGGACACTGCATGTTCACTTCAGAGCAGCAGTTCCCCCCTAGTGTGAAGGATCTTCAGCCTTTTATACTCCCAGGTGCAGACAATCAGCCAGTCAATTGGTCATGGAGTGTTCATGGGATCTCCAGGCAGCCAATCGTCTGCGAGGTCTGGCACACTGTGATCTGCATAAAAGAAGGCTGGCACAGGACTCCCAGCAGCCAGTCATCCACGAGTCCTGGCACACTTAGATTTGCATAAGCACAAAAGGTAGTCTCACTCTCTCCAAGGCCCAGGGCCGTAACACCCTTAAAATACAAGACTACGTTTTGTATACACAGATTTCAATATTCGTGACAGACAACAAAACAAGTCATACTCACAACCGGGAGAGGCCATCAGCTAGTACAGTTTCTGATCCTTTTATATGCCGAATCTCCAAATTGTACTCTTGTAGCAACAAGGCGCATCGCATGAGTCTTTGATTGTGGTTAAACATTCGGGCAAGAAATACAAGTGGATTATGATCAGTGTACACTACAATGGGTAATGTGCCAGACCCCAAGTACACGTGGAAGTGCTGAAGAGCTAGCAACAGGGCCAATGTCTCCTTTTCAATGGTGGAGTAACGTAACAGATGCTGATTAAATTTGCAGTGGAAATAACAAATGAGGTGGTCCAATCCCTGCAAGTCTTTTTGCAACAGTACTGCTCCAGCCCCAACAGCACTGGCGTCAATTTCTAACTTGCATGGTTGCATCAAGTCGGGTGCAGTTAACACAGAAGTGTGGCATAGGAGGGATTTTGTACTTAAGGTGTTCTGCAATTTGCAGCAATTCGCATTTGCGGCAGCTCTCAAGGAGCACAACAGATGGAGCTTTTAAAAAATCCTCTAAACAAAATGGAGCCGACATGGCGCTCAAAACAGGGAAGAGGGCAGAAGAAGAGAGAGCATATTTCTCCTGTTTTGGCTTCCCTTCATTGGCTTCCTGTTAAATCCAGAATTGAATTCAAAATCCTGCTCCTCACATACAAGGTCTT